ATCTGAGACACTGTATCTTCATTAGAGATATTAACTTTACTTTCAGGTACCTGCCTAAATTGGGAGGCTCTGCTCCCCCTGCGGTCAGACATAGAAAGAGGCTGCCCAGCAGATCAATCCAAATAGCTCCACACATTCTGAAGGAAGCTTCCATCCAACTGGAAGACTTTCATTCTCTATTGAGTTTAAAAGGACAGTAGGAAAGCTCCCTTTAACTAAGGCAGCTGCACTCTTTGCCTGCAGTGTGCATGTGTGTCAGCCTCTGGTGTACTTCAGTTCCAGCCCACAACAAGGAATGTGACATCGCTATCTCAGCATGGTCTCAGGGGAGTAAGCACAGGAAGGGCTGGGAGAATCAAGGTACTACAGTAGTTTGGTTGTACAGGAGACAGACAGTGACCTAAATTGACCCTGAGAAATTTGAGATGCAGAGCTGTGAAGCTTATGCAGCAGATTTAAATCGCTTTGGGTGCTCCTGTAGGAAGAACCAGTCCATCCAACAGTTTTACCTCATGTTCTCGGGAGGCCCCAGATGCTCGATACCCCAATACCTCTGTAACTTTAATTTCACCTTGAAGGGTTTCAGGCATGTATTTTAAATTCATTATATTTACCCTTCTACACTACATCCATACAAACACATACAGCATTAACTATTTCAAGGTCCCCACAGAGAGCTCTTAGCAGAGACAGAACATGGGCCAGCACACGACTGAAGCCACATGCACCATCTGCTCAAACACTTTAATGTAATTTACCAGGCAAGAGCTGAGCAGGAAAAAAAAAATGATAGATAACAGAGATTAGATTTCCCCTAGTCCAAAATACCTCCTGCTGCTTGATATATGAACTAATTCACCCATAACTAATATTTCATTTAAGAACATATTCAAAAATTTTTTTTAAAAAAGTCCTGTGCCTGCAAGGTAACATTGATATAATTCTTCTGTTAACCTGCTGCCCATTGAGAACTGTCCAGACTGATAATCCTATTGCCAAAACCAAAAAGGAGTGTACTACTTAAGAACTTTAAAGTTGTTACTTCCATTCAAATTGCAATTTTGATGAACTTCAATAAATAAAGAGTAAAGAGAAATATTTATTTACTGCAGCATTGAAGTCAAACAAGTTCTACATGTTAAGACTTGTATTTGGCTGAAAGTGGCAGCCCTGGGCCTAGTGCTATTTGAATTTTGGGAAGAAGTCCTGCAACTGATCTGTAAAAGGGATGGATTCCAAATGGCAAAAACTTATACTTTAAGAATCAGGTTTCATAGAGAACAATCCTCCAGCTTTTAAAACAAAAGCAATGATGTGAAGAACTCATGACAAACTCCTTTTGTCATGTTCAACAGTATGAATGAAGATGTTTAGACAGGCTTAGCAATTTTTCCTCTATTAGAAATACTCACAAAATTAACAAGAAACTAGGACAACTACCTTAAATTCAGCTGGCATTTCCTCTTCCAAATCTCTACACCATTCACTACTCCTTTTAAGTTGACAATAAAAAATAAAATTTAAAAAAAAACCATAAATGAATAAAATCAGTTTATTAAGACTGTAAATATCACTGTTAATTTCTGATGTGAAAGGTAGAAAAATCTGCATACAGCAGGAAAGTTCTTCCAATTCCTCTTACTGATACCCTAAATACAGCAGCCTTCATGATTCATAATTTTAGGAAATGAGACTTTAACCTGAGCTGTCCCCACCCGAGCTGAGTGTCTGGCTGTGTGCCAGGATGCTTCAACATCCTCTAGCAATTAAAAGCCATCATCTGCAGCAGACATCATCCCAAAACCTTCCCTTTTTTTCAACTCAAGGCTCATTAAAGGCCAACACTGCAAAATTAATATTAAGAATTATAGAAAAGGAAAAAAAGAAGCCTGGAGAAGGCGCAGGCAGGAGCAATCATGACTCAACATACAGATAAGCTCCCATGTAGAGAAGGACTGTCTGACCAGCACTCTTTTGCTTGGAAAGAAGTCAGTGACAAGACCTACAACTGAACTCTAAACAAATATTGAGTGACTTAAACAAGGAAAAAGAGAGAGACTCACTAACTCTTCTCGCATGACAGAAGAGCTCTAACTGTATCTCTAAGTTGTTGGTCAGAACAAGGAAGAAGTGATTCCTCATGCAAGTTAGGCAAATTAAGATATTGCAGAGAGTAAACATTTACTGGGACTCAAACATTTCAACAAATGAATGGAAGAAAATTCCGCAATGACTGTTGAAAGCAAAGATACCACTTTCAGCTCAGGAAAGATGCAGCTGCAGGAGCGTATCAGGGAAGGATCAGTATAACCATGCCTGTTCTACTCACCTGTACGCACTGGCTTGGGAAGTCATCGTGATACAGCAATGCCTTGGACTTGAGGTTGGATCTGGTATGCCACCCTTACATTATTTTATTGTATACCTCAGAAGTTAAAAACATCATGAGAAGTCTTACCAAAAAAATTACAGGATTCTCTTCTTTTTGCTGTTTGTTTGTGGGTTTGGGTTTGTTTTGGGGTGGGGAGGGAGAGTGTTTGGGTTTGGTTTTATTTTTAAATTATTTGGCTTATAGTTTCATGGTTTTATGTAAACTTCAGTTCAATTTACTTGCTTCCATCCCCAGCTAACATATTCTGCAACACTGAGCACTGAGAACATTGCCATTGATTTCCATCAGCAAAGGATCACACCCTAACTGCTTCCAATTTCACAGTTACTAAGCAACACTAAGTGATCACAGCCTCTGAGCAAGCAATGTCCTGTATTCAAAGGTTTGAATTGTAGAACTCCATAAAGACTTGGAACTTGGGCACCTACCAATGAACACCAGCTCTGCAAGTCTTAGATAACAAACTCTTGAAGTACAGAAATACATACCTTTGGTGCTGTTAATTGAATTTAGCTCTACTGAACCACAAAATTTCCTTGTACACTCATCATGGACCTAAAACTGGGAGTATTTTCTAATATCCTGCAAAGTTTTTTTGTATTTTTCCCAGGATTTACCAGAAAACAAACCCTTTTATTTATATTGAAATTCATACACAGCCCTCCTATTAAAGTTACATATTCAGGGATAAAGATGAAAAAGAAAGCACACAAAACCAGGACATTAAACACCATCAGCCTTAGGGGAATATACAACATCATCCCTTACAATTCAGTGCATCTTTGGAGTACTGAACATTTTTTTAATTATTCATAAAAACACTGTAATAGGATTTCTGTTTTTCCTTTAAAATAGTATCACTGGTAAAAATACTATAACTATTAGAAAATAGTAAATAACACCATGCTCTTCATTTTATTTTTGTAGGAGATTTTCCTGAATGCAAACAACTCTTAAAAAATAATCAATAGCTAAATTTGCTTTAATGAAGATGGTACTTGCAGCCTTTACTAAATTATACTTACTCATCTACACACCAAGACAACAGAAACCTTGCTTGCTGCTAACATGGAAAATCTGAATGATCTAGAAGACTGGATCCATTACCCAGTGAACGACTAAGAATGAGACTGGCTGCTCTCCCTTGGAAAATCCTGAACTGGTCTAACATTTAAAAAATGTGAAATTGCAAGGGTGAGAAAGTGCTATGGAAGCCCACGCATGAGAATGCTGCAAAAAAAAGTAAGTGCTGCAGAAACCTCTGGTGTTTCATGTACATCCATTCACACACTTTCACAAATGTATACAGTAATTGTTTAGGGACACAGTTTAGCTCTTTTCACACCCATTAGAGGATCCTAATCATAAGAGTTGAGCAACATAAAAGCTTTTGAAGCAGAAAGCCTGGACGTTGTGTGTTACATCTAATGGAAATAATATTACACAGAAGTCTTTCACTTCCGAGACTGATTAGAAGCTGTACCGTATTTACCACAGTATGAAGATAACCTGAGAGAACACTAGCATAAATCATTAATTCATTGTGGAGAAACTCTGGAAGAGGATATGTTTCTAAAAGGAAAATGATCACATTAAAATGCAAGCAAACTTTGAGGAAAACAAGCTGTGCCAAGTAAATAGTGCCAAAATTAAGCAATTCATAGTTACCATATTTGGTCTTCAATAGGAAGAATTTAGAGCACATGAAAATACAACAACAGCATAGCAAACCAATGGGAAAAAAAAAATCAACTGAGTGTTACGTTGGCTATCTGAAAAGCTTGCTGGAATTACACAGATCCTATTCCAAAAGGCTCATGTACCTAATAAATAGTTCTGGAAGACAATGAACAACACTAAGCACATGTAGACTCTCCTGTGCTTCCTAAGAATTGTCTATCTCCAGTAAATGAAAGAGCAAGCATGCAAAATTCTCCATATAAAAAGTAATTAGAAAAAATTAATCAATTTCTCCTCTCCTTCTTTAATACTTATGTATCAGTTTTAGAAAGCAAAATGATCAGGTGGCATTGCTCTGTAATAATTTCAATTAAAATAAATGATGTTGCTTTTAATGCAATTTACAACCTCATAAGTAACCAACCTGAAGAGAAAAGCAATAAAACCAAAGAAAAAAGCTACCCACCATTTACCCAGCGACCAAACAGCAACATGAAAGATATCACATTCCTCTTTCTATGCTTTAGATACAGAGGAGCATTTTGATATCCCAAATACTTAGGGATGTTATTTGCTATTGAGACTTTTAAATCGTTACTAAGAATGCACTTGACATCTCTTGGGAAAATAAGAAATGCCGTATACCCGAACTTGCTAGGTCCTCTTTTAAGGCTGACATCCCTCTGTGTCCTTACTGCACACAATAAAAGGCAAGCCTTCTGTTTGCAGGCTTCAGGTCACTTGCTCAGTTGCTACCCTTAAATCATGGCATGCGAGGGCTGCATTCCACCTGAGGAGTATTCGTGGCGGCTGCCAGACAGAGATGCCTGGGCTCACCAGGGTAGAAGGGGCATTCCAGGCTGTGAAGCTGATTGCACTGGAAGTGCTTGCTAACAGAGATGTCAATGAAATAAAGGAGTTTCAGTACCTGAGTTAACAAGCTGCTGCTCCATGACCCCGCAGCCCAGGACCTCCATCCATTCTCCTTGGAAGTTGATCTCCATCTCAAAGGAAGGGTGAGTAAATGGGAAGTAGCAATCTACCCATCTGACTTGCAGTCCTGTAGCAGTGTTTAAAAAATAAATAAATATGAAAGGGTGTATGCTTAAAAGGCCATCCCTCCAACCATCTGTAAAATTTGCCTTTCAACTAATGGCATGAATTACAGCAATCCAGAGAAAATAAATAGCAAACAAACTAATTTACAACACTTGTGCAAGGTGATAAATCTTAAAACCTGTGGAAAAAAATGACCATGTCTTTTCTAATATGAAAAATGCTTTGTGCAATTCAAGCACCCTTTGAAACCAAATCAATCATTTGTCAAATTCTGGTAACCACCTGGCATCGAACAAAAATGAGCCAAGATAATGGAAAAGTCAGTAATTTTGTTATTCTTTGCACCAGGAAATGACTAACTGCTTCTCACAGGAAAAACTAGCTAAGTCTTTAATTTTTACTTAGTATTTTATGGATCGTCTAGACAAGTAATTTTTTTTCATCAAAACTTAATTAAAATACAGAGCTATTCTCTCTGTATATGTTTAAAAGTGAAAGTTAAAAATGGATATTAATATACACAAATAGAAATATATTTTCACAGAGTTGTACATTATTAAGGTATGCAACACATGCACAGAGCATTCTGGACTTGGTAGATAAGTGTAAGGGAAAAGCCCCCCTTGGTAATTCCCCACCATCCCCCCCCCAGCTCAGCACCTCTGCAGGTACCACTGCCCAGAGCAAGGAAAGTCCTGGCATCTCAGAGCAGTGCAGCCAGAAGAGGACAAGGTCTTCCTTCCCAAGGTCTTCAGTGCTGCCTAAAGCAGAGTTGTTTCAAAGTGCTCATTATATTTGATGAGTTTTAGTTCCTCTAATGATTTACAGATGCTTTGCTTCACTAATTTTTTTTTTTTTTTTATCTAACCATTAGTTGTCAGGAAAAAGTCTCAGAAACATGAACCATAAAAACTTGATAGAGAACTGAAATGCAAATTCTGTAAGCTAAGCTAATGCCTTAACCCCAAACACATCTTCTCTTCAGTTAAGCCAAATGCTAATCAGAGTCAGGATCATGAAGAACCAGGCAGGTCCAGCTTCAAAAATAAAGAGCTGAACCTTATTTTTGAAAGGCAAAGGTAGTGTGAGTGACAGCAACTGTTAAAATTCCTGGTTTGATCTTCAGATTTTTTTGGGGATGTTTCATAAGAGGAATGTAAAACATGAAATTGCATGATTCATCCTAAAATTTTTCAAATAAAAATATTTAAAGTAGCCTCACAAACTAGATCTTCATTGATTACTTCTGAAACATGAAATGTAGCTACAGAAACTGAAACAATAAATTACAACAAAGATGTATATGCATGGCCAAAACATAAAATACCTCCTAACAGTCACAGGAAAATTTTCTAGATGCTATGAGAAATGAAATGGCAAGGCAGGTTTCAAAGCAAACAGACTGGCACTTCTAGATTTTCTCTGATTTCTTAAAAACCAGTCTCAGGAAAGTATATGAGTAATGGAAAATCTTTTTGATAATTGTATAGACAGAACTCAGAAAACCAGAAGTATTTACAATAGTTTCATTCCCAATTGTAGGGTGACAGCAATCACTATATTGCTCCTTTTTACCTGCATGACAATTAAAAAAATACATACATGAAAAGAGTCATGCGTATACAATAATATAGTGTGAAGAAAACATTTTTTTAAATTTCCTGATCTTGGCATTTTTAATCCTTGGGCTGTGCACATATAAAATATTCTCATTTAGCTTGCAAAATTTGCAAATGCAGCAACTACTTTGAATATTCAACTAGTTTGCATTCAGTAACAACATTCAGATAATTGTTTCTTATTAATCCTCTGATTACTTAAAAAATGAAGCTCTGTGAAAAAAAAAGGATTTCTCAGCTGTTTGTTCTTAATTAAAATAAATTTTTAAAGGTAAAAAAAGAATTTAAAGCTCTTTATTCTTGAATTTTAATGCATATTAGTACTTAAGAGGCTTCTGGTTTAAATGCAAATAAGCAAACAAACAACATTCTGAATAAACCAAAACAAATTCACAATGAAGAGACAACTCTCACCTTCATTCTGTTCTCTAAATTAATAGTTAATCCCACATACCACAATAATTTTATTCATACAGTATCCAGGCCATTGGGAATACCTCTGTAGTTTATATTCAAGTGTTCTTTCAGACTTTTGGCTCTGGAAGACTTTACTGAAAAGCAGAGGGTGCTCAGCCTTTGGTAACATTAACTGCATTTCTATAGAGTGCCACAGAACCAATGGGTACATTTATTATTTAGATAAAAAATATTGTCTTGGTGCTCAATTTATTCCCAAGGAGTAAAGGGCATCGCTTACACTCAGCAAATTAAACCACTAAGGACTTTAAAGGATTATGATGATTAGGCTTCCTGTAGTACTATGTAATTTTCCTGATTTGGCCTACTTTGTTTCTTCACATACAGACTATGAAATACTGGCAAAATTGATCTTTTCTAGAAATTTTAGGAGGCCAAGAGACACATATCTCTCTTAAAACAAGCACTTACAAGAGCACACTGCTGAATCTAATCAAGGCCTGACCACTAGCCACAAACTTTTCCTGTTCAAAGAAATTATTTGTGTTATCAGACATAAACACACTTGCTCATTTCAGAGCCTCACAGTGCTCATGAGAGTCCTTCCAGTGGGTAGAGGTCCATTCAAAACTGTGCTGGGCTGAACACCAGGCTCCCAGCAAAGCTGGTCTACCACTGCCCTCCTCAACTGGACCAGGGGTAGAAAATTTAATAAAAGACTCATGGGTCAAGATGAGGGCAGGAAGAGATAACCCAGCAATTACAGTCATGGGCAAAACAGACTTGACTTGGGGGAAGTCGTTCCATTTATTGCCAATCAAATCAGAGCAGGATAATGGGAAATAGAAACTAAACCTTGAAAACAACTTCCCCCATCCCTCCCTTCTTCCAGGCTCAACTCCACTCCCAAAATCTCTAGCTCCTCCTCACCAGCAGTGGGGACGGGGAATGGAGATGGTGGTCAGCTCATCCCTCATTTTCTCTGCTACTTTTCCCCTGCTCCAGGGTGGAGTCATGCCCTCTGAAGACAGTCCTTCGTTAATTGCATCAGCATAAGTCCCTTCCACAGCATACAGTCCTTCAGGAACCTCCTGCTCCAGGACAGGTCACTCCACAGGGCAACAGGTCCTGCCAGAAGCCTGCTCCAGCACAGGGTTCCAGCCTTCTTTGGGACTCTACCTGCTCTAGCATGGGGTCCTTCATGCACTGCAGGTGGACCTCTTTATCTCCATGGACCTCCATGGGCTGGAGGGGCACAGCTGTCTCACCATGGGCTGAATCTCAGGGGAATCTCAGCTCAGGCACCTGGAGCACCTCCTCTCCCTCCTTCTCCATTGACCTTGCATCTCAACCAAGGTATCTGAAGGGCAGCTCCTCACACGTGTTCTCATTCCTCTTGCTGGCTGCAAATTGTGCAGGATTTTTTCTTGTCCCTTTTAAAGTGAGTTATCCCAGAGGTGCTACTGCCATCACTGATGGGCTCAGCTTTGGCCAGCAGTGGGTCCACCCTGGAGCTGGCTGGCACTGGCTCTGTCAGACATGAAGCAAACGTCTGGCAGCTCCTCACAGAAGCCACCCCTGCAGCCTCCCCGCTACCAAAACCTTGCCATGCAAATGCAATACAGTAACTTATATGTCAGATCAGTATGGAAACAGTGAATAATTACTGTTATTTCTGAACACTGAATCCAGGTAAAGAATTGGTCATAGCCTGCACTCAAAAGTAATGGTGTTATTAGATATTAAGCTAAACAAGTGCTAGCCTAATTGAGTCTCATAATGAAAAAGGCTTGACCAAAGGCACTGAAAAAGAAAGAAAAGAAAAAAGAACAAACCAAACACATTAAAGCGACCTATTAATACACTACAGCACAGAAGCAACAAAGCCTGAGACCCAGATGGTCTTCACTGACCAGAAATCCTCTTTGTTGCTGTGAGGATTATTTTTAGAGACAAGGCTATGGAAGAAAAAGGAGAGGGGTGCAAGGAGGGTGCTGGGAAGCACAGAAGGTATTGAACTGTGGCCTCTTGAGGTGTGTATCAATTTATAAGTACTCTGCACCTCATTGTTTCAGATAATTCATCATACTTGCAGCAGACAGGAGCTGGCTGCCCATATAAACCCTCACATTTTTCAGAAGTTATTAGCCAGACCATTATGTCCTTTATAATTTCATTTTTTTTTAACTCATTACACCCATAGATCTCCATGCACTCAAAGGAGGTATCAGTACAAGAGAACTAAGAAGGAGAATGAGCAGAACATGTTTGATTTAAAAGATATCCAGTGGCTGTTCAGTGGGAATCAGCAGTGGCAAAGCCATCAGTCAAAGCACAGCATTACTCACTCTCCTGCCTTCCCTTACCAGTGCCTAGGAACCGGGTAGATAAATACGGGATAGCAGTGAATTTTGAGCCATTTCATGTAAAGCAGCAAACCACAGAACCAGCACACAGTCATTATTTTCTATTTGCTATAGTAAGATTACTTCTGAATCTCCCAGAGTGCAGAGAGCTTTTGACAAGCTACAGAGGGGTTAGAGAAAGAACCGTAGTTGAAAAAGACTGGCTAATTTATGAGGAAATTTTGGGCAGCCTTGTTACTAGGTAACTAAAATGAGAACTAACAGACTACTTACACTGACAGAACTGTATGGGGAGATGGATGTGTAACTTAAATTAGTGGATTTTAGGTGTGCATTTTATGGAAGTAACAGAGGAAAACTAAGAAAGGTGATGTCTAGGTGTAGTATTTGAAAAAGCATCCTGGCAGAAAATTGGAAGAAACTGAAAGACAGTTACTTGTAGAATGCAAAATCAGGTATGTCATACCATCAGAAAATGCCATAAGAACTACTTTACATTGTCAAACTTTTAAGGCAACTGATTGGATATTCCAGAACTTTCCTCCTCCTCTAACATCTGTCATTACTTTGTCTGTTGGCAAAGCCAGAAAGACATAAAAAGACAAACTTTTGTAATAAGGGTAAGTGCAGATCCTATGAAGTTTTTGACCTTCCTCAGGACAACACAGTGATTTCTAAACAACTTTGTTTTGTCAACACTGAGTTGTTCAAATAGTGTGGAAGGAACCAGGTAGAGCCCAACTGTCTCATAAAATACTATAAAAAATAACCTAAAACACCACAAAAAAAAAAAAAGGCAAGTCAGTGGTATGACCTTTCTGCAGAGATTCTGCAGAGATTCTCAATCTATCATCAACCTGAGCTAGTAAATTCCCAGAGAAGCACTGCAGAAGCACACCTTCCAAGTCCAGGACTTCAGGTACAAGCTAGTTTATGTACAACTAACATGTACAGCAGTCTCAATATACAATCCAAACAATCTGCCTGTAATAAACAGTTGACTGTATGACAATGCAACATTTCAGTCACTTACTGCAGCTGTGGTCATGCTATGCTGCTAGAAAAGATGTGCCACTTCACTACAATATTCTGCTGACAGTACAGGTTGTAAAGAATACAAATTATGCCAAGGATAAAGGAATAAAACTTTTGCTTTTAACAGAACAAGGTGCCTTATATCCACATATAGAAAAACAAACATTTTCCAAGAGCAACACATTTAAACACATTTTAAATATTAAGTTAAAATTTATAGAAGTCAAGATACAAAAAGTAATCAAGAGTACCATGTAAAGTAAAGAGTAAAGTACTAGTTAAAAGATGACAGCTATCAAAAGACAAATTTATTTATGTGTGCCTCAAGACTGTGCAGTGCAGTGCACCAATCTCACATACCTGGTGCCTAACATGAACTTTGAATACTTTGAATTCCTGTATTTCCATGAATGGGAAAGGGGGGAAATACACATATATATATACACATACATATGCAAATTTAAATTTAAAACCATATTAAACTTATTTCAATAACTATATATTGTGTTTGTATTCCAGGAAAAATGTTGGGGGTATAGAAATAGAAAACTCCAACAGTAAAAAGGTGGCATCTACCTTTAATTTGTACATTTAAAATAGTTTATGAATATATTTTAATGTCTTTATAGCTAATGGGTGGACTGTACAAGAACTAGTAATAGCCAACATGCTGAAGCTTAAAGTGCAGTATCTGTCAACAGTTAGAGAAGGATGCCACTGCAGTCTGAGATACCACTAATAACTCTGAGAAATTGTTCACTTTAAACATCCTCAGCATCTGAGGTTGATCTAAATTTATCATTCTTACTGTTACCTACTTTCATCCCAATTTTGTATGTTTCAAAAGGTCACTGTTAAGTAAAATACACCTACAAGAGGCTTTGAGCTGAGGAACTTCAAAATTTTTGTTCAGGTGGAATAGAAAAATAACTGGTAAAAGTTTTGCACGCTATAAGTCAACTTGAAAAATGCAGAAAAATATTCGAGCAGTCATACCTAGAACTTGGTATCATTATCAATCCACTCTTGTAACTACTGCTTTAAGTGCAATAAACATCTTAAAACACCTTAGAAAGTAGGCAAGATACCTCATGCATTCTAATACCATCCAGTATTTCCTCAACAGAAAAACGAATCAGCTCAGAAGAGCAGCCTCCTTGCCAAGAAATAACATTAATGTAGCAATTTTGACTCAGGCCATTTATAAATTCAGTTCCTGAAACTGAAAGCAGGTATTTCTGAGGAGAGAATACTTCATTCATATACACATCCATTACCCTTCCTCATTCTACTGCAAGCACTAAAAAACAATTACTGTTCAGCTTGATGTGGACTTAGCAAACACGGTCTGCCCTCAGCTGAAAGGTTTACTTTATCCGCACAAGGGATGCGGCATGTGGACACATGCATCCCTTCCCTGCTCCTGGTGCAGGATCTGAGTGCTGCCCAGCTGCACCCAAGCTCTCCTGCACCCCAGATGCGATGCTGCACCCATGCTCCATCCTTCACACAGGAGGCCCACGAGGATGAAGCAGAGGGGGTCCTGCAGAGCTTTGTGCTGGAGCTGGAGCTGCCTCTCCTTGCAGGACCCACACTGTGCCTTTAGCACACGGCTTCTGCCAGATCACTGCTTGCAGCTGGGTCTCCACATGTCCCCACCTGCATTTGTGCCCACCACATTACTCTGACACACTGCACACCTAAACATTTTCACAAAAACCTGCTGAGTCAACACAGTGTTGTGTGCACCAGTATTCAGGAAAACCCAGAGAGGAATGTGTGGCCTCTTGGAAAAACCTATCTGGCAATTTCGTATTACCAGCTGCCAACTCAACCCCTGAGTTTCCTGTCTGTGTTACACAGCAAAATGTTTCTCAAAGTCCCAATGACTATAGGCATAGGCAATCTGGGGGAAAAGGTGCAAGAACCCACCGTCACCAAAGATGTGAGTCATGAGCTTCGTGAGCACTTGCTTCAGGTTGAACTCCACCAGCCTCACTGCCTCCATGGTGTGACACTCCTGCTTGTGTGCAGTGCGATGGCCTTGCTCAAACAGCTGTAAACCTTCACCATCTTTAATGCTGGAGAACAACTAGAACAAAACCACAAAAACACCGTGTTTTGCATCAGTCACCTTCTGAATGAAAATAGAGAATGAAGTCTCATTGATTTAAGTGGGAATCTTACCTGCTAAGTCTACACTGTGAAAAACAAACAAAGACTGTGAGTTTCTACAAATTCTGTTCACTAAATGCAGAGATGAATCTCTGTAAGAACAAAAATGCTCAAATAATTAAATCTGGTTTATTTCTATCATCAAATAATATTATTAGCTATAGGAAAATAATAATTTACAAAATAAAGCATGTCTCCTTTTCTGATTCAGTTACTTTGGAAGTTACCATGCAGAACAAAGTACTCTGTACAGTGTATGTAAATTACACCCCAAAAACTACAAAACACAATGAACTCAATGGCATTTATCAGAACTTCAACTCTTTTAGTACTTGGATGATGTAAAAGAAACACCAAAACAACAAAAAAGAAACAAAAACAAAAAACAGAAACACAAAACAAACCCAAACCAATCAACCCCAAACAAAAAAACCCCCAAACTAAAAAAAACCCAAACCAAAAAAACAAACAAACAAACCCAAAACAAACCCTGGCAGTTTAATGAGACTAAAGCTGTTTACAGTTGATTCATCATGGGTACAAGTTTATATTCATTTAAGGACTACCATTTTCCTGTATGTTCCCATACAGCATCATTTTTGTGAACAAGAATTTTGTCTATGGGGCTTGTAAGGATTCATGATCTCAGGAGGGGGTTTTCCAGATAAGTTACGAAGCACAGGGACAGCTGTTTTGGGATGTGGCAGACTTGCTCTTCATTTGGACACTGCTCACCACCAGATCTGCTGCAAGTTGAAGATTTCTGCTTTCTGCATATTCCCATGTGCTTCTGGCCAGGTGATCCTGGCCAGATACACACCAGCAAATCTATATCCTTTCAGAGAGACCAATAAACAGATTCATTAAACAACACTGTTGGAGGCTCTGTGTCCTGGGAAGACAAGCAGGCAATTTCACAATCTAAAGAGTATTTTTGTTGGAAATCCTTACAGCTGTACAAAACCCCCATATCTGGGATGAAGTCTTGAGGGTAGGGCGAGCCAGTTGTGAAAGTGTTTCTAGTGCTCTTTCCTACCCCTCCTCCTCTACCTTCCCCTAGTCAATCAAGCACACACAGAGGGAAAAAACATGCACTGAGATTTTCTTTCCATTAAGCCTCCCAACATAAATAGCTCTTACTCAGGAGATGCCACGAATAGTGTGTAACCTTAACAACTCATGGATGCCCACAGAAGTTGTTTTAACCGCAGTTTGATGCCTTCAGAGCACTAAATGCTCTAAACAAAAAGTTCAAGTGAATCTCTGGTATTTCACAAATGCTAGATACAATTAATCAGGACTAGTTTCTAGCACATTTCCTACAGACACAACGAATGAAGAGTCTGAGTTTAGACAGCAGGCTAACTAGCACAACACTGGATTGAAGAAATAAAAAAAAAAAATCCATTCACATTTAACTTTGTATTGCTAGACACAAGTAGATTGCTGGCAGATTTAGACAACATTTCTTCTCTTAATGTTCTTAGTGTGCTGCAGAAAATACTAAATTAAAAAGGGAATGTATAATATCAAATAAAATGATTCTCCGCCAGTCTAACAAAAATGCCCTTACTAACCAAGAGGCAGCAGCTTGACAAACAAAGTGCCACACTTTTAAATAACAGATTCTTTATTCAAGTGCTCATGTGAAAGATTAAATCCCCTTCTTCTTACTGACATTAATCCTACCTTGACTGGAACAAGAAGATAATACCCACCCTACAACTAATTTGCTGTCAGCAAGGCAGATAGGTCACCCAGCATGTGGTTTGGAAAGCCAGGGAAATTCAGAGAGGCCAGCATTAGCCTAGGGAGGATAATTGTCCTAGGCTCACTGGGTGGCCAGTGGAGAGACACAGGATCCCTTACAGAGGAACACAGAGTGGCTAAATTAGGTTCCTGCTCTGAACAACCCTACACAGGTAGCTATTTTTTCTGTTGACTGACTGACTCACTCACTAAGCAAGAAACACCCTTCAGACAACAGAGATGTTCCCTCTTTGAACCAGAATACACTGTATTTACACATTAGAAGGTACATTTGTTATTTTACCTATCAGCAGATTTTAGGACATGAATCTCTTCCTCCTTTTCCCCTTCACTCCTCCCTTCAGCTTAAGACTGGCTCCTCAGACCACTGAAAAGAACAGTTACTCTGGACACTAGCCTTCAAAACACAGCATACTTGTATCAACAAGTACATAGAAATACTTTTCCTTACTGTTGTATTATTTCTGAAATGTTGATATCACAATTACAGTCTAAAGCAAAATTCTATTTCAGTGGTTTATATCAGATGTGGAAACAAAATACATTGAGCAAGAATCATTGAGTCATAATGCAGCCCTGTCACCTGCTTGAGCCTTAATCCTGCCAAACCAGTCATAGGCACCATCTCCAAGTGCCTCCAAGTCATAGGTTCCTACTCCAAGCCAGGACAAGGGCCCATGCAGCAGTGTACTGAGCCAAGCTGGGAGATGGATCCACATGGGCAGTAACTCAGGAGAAGGGAAGAAACTGAGGGATGTGAAAATGGTGAAGTTGAGCTTAGTAATCAAATATCAGCATACTAGCAGCTCCAAGAGATGAGCTGGCACATGGAACAGGGCTGGGTCACTTTAGGCACATGTATGACTCTAGTCCAGTTCAGACAGACTCTGAAAGCACAGGGAAGTCCCAGAAACAGGTAAAACAACAGCTCCCCCTTACAGTCAGGCACCGAGAGGCTTTGGTATTCTCCACAGAGGCTCCATCAGCTGCAGATGGGATTATACCGAGAAAAAAAAAAACATATATACCTTACAGTTGTATTAATATTTATTCCTGATTTCCCATTCACTGACATTGCTATGTCAATACGGGTGGCTTTAAACCGATACGCCAATTTCACTACTACAACGATTGAACTGTGCTAAGTACATGTCTTGGATTAGAAACACTTCAACATTTCTGTATACATAAAGCCAGGAAAGTCAAAGCTTGAATAAAATGAAGAATCACCTACAGTTGCTCCTTTTTGATGTCAATTTTTCTCAAGCACAAACAATATCAGAGCAAATGGAGAAAAAAAAAATACCTAACATCTTGCATAAAGCATTGACACATGCAAGACGACATTTTCACGTACATTCATTCCTCCAGTGCAGACTAAAACAGCATGCACTATCTAATTGTATTGAATACAATCAGTCACTACTACAAGCAGGAAAGAAATTTCCTGTAGCCATAAATCGAGTACCTATGTGTCTGTCTAGTGTAAGGACAAGAAGATTTTTCTTTGAGTGAAGGTGTGCAAAACATTGAATACTGGATCACCATGAAAAAGTAAAAAAAATTAACACTTCCCAGGATTTATCAGCATATCTGACTGATGCTGCATTACAAAGGAAAAGGCAGAAAGGAATTGAAGTGACCTAACCATATGGCATGAAGTTAAGTCAGTTTATCTCCTAATAAAAATAAATTAAAATTTGATAATGTGTAAGGGCAAGAAGACAAAGTTTTAACTGGACAAGTACAAATAGAGCTATGGTCCTTCAAAAGCACACTCCAGCATTTCTCAGCCTGGCATGAAGGGCAGAAGTCACATTTGTGATTTAACCAAAACCTCAACATTTCCTCAATCATTTGACAGACTTTTTAGTCTCACATCCCTTCATTATCCATACACTTAGTATTCAAAATTAAGGGCCTCTTTTCAGGATGGATTCCAGAGTAGGTTTCAGATCAGAGAGATCTGTAACTATATCCTGTCTTTCCACAATGCAGTTGTGTATTTGTCCTGCCACTCATGCATACACCAGTGATTAAGATAATGAATAAATCATACTCATGTACTTATACTCCCAGGCAAACCAGCATTTAAAATTATCGCTATATGAGGATCTGCACGTGACTACACCAAACCTTGCCACACCAAATAAATTTTGTCTCACTGGCCCTAATAAATATCTCTAAAAATGAACCAACAGCTGCAGTCTGAATCCACTTACAAATAGCAAACCCTTCCCACAACATTTTAAATGGGCTGTGGAACTCAAGACTCAACCAATGGATCAGGAATGATGAAGATGATGCCACTAATAGATGGCTCAAAGAGAAAACCTAATTTTAGTCTCAGTCAGCCTCCAAGATGTAACTATGCAGCCAGCTTCGGTACCAAAGAGATACACAGCCACATGACAGAAGGCTCTTCACTGCATATCAATAAGGATTTTTGGGGGCAGAAAATGACAAAAAATTTACTTCAACCCACAAGCTTGAAGGTGATCACCCTAATTTCTACATCCTTCCATTCTAGTTCTCCAATTACAGCAAAGAAAGGTAACCTCTGTTGTTTTTTGGGGGTGGAGGGCTATTCTTTGGTGTTTTTTTAACCTAATCAAAGTGTTTTGTAAGAAAAGGGAAAATGATAAAGATGTTTCCAGAAAGAAAAAGTAACACTGCTACACAGACACCTGATGTAATGAGACATCTATCATAAACTTCTGTTTTTGTAGCAGTAGTAATTCCTTCACTTTTAAGTACCTTAGACTTCCCAAATACACTTGTGGACACTTTCCTCTTTTTTTTTTTTTCCTGCACAATTTAAGTATTGCATTGGATAGATTTAATGGCCTTGTTCTGAAAAGCTTTGTTGGTTTGGTTTTTTTAAGCTGGATGACAAAAAGTAAGACAAAGTCTGAAAAAAAGTGAAGTCTTTGCAGTAAAAGATGCACCCTCAGTTTTCAAACTTCCTAGACCATAGATCACTATGAAAATCTAACAGACCTTCTGATGCCCTTCACTGTCAAATTTTTGACTAAAAATAACAAAGAATACAATTTGGATCCTTGGATCAGTGAAGATATATTTATTATGGCATGATTTATACAACACAACTTGGAAAATACTGAATCATATAATGTTCACTACTTGGATTAATACTGGAGAAAGTGAAATCAGTTCCACCTAAACTAGCCAGGCTCTTCGTTGCGACCACTCAGTTCAACTGCAGCTTCAGGAATAAATTCACCTCCAAATATTCTAGCAAAGTAATGCTGCTGCTCTTTTTTTTACCCAGGCGGATCTAGTTCAAATGCCCCTGCTCCTGTACTGGCCTTGCTGCCCCCTGTGAGAAGGAGGGACAGCTCCCAGGCTCTTTGGGACCCATGCTTTGCTCACAACCCTATCTATAAGTTGTAGAAGGCTAAGAAGGGCTCCTTTCCTTGGTCATTTAAGCCTTTTAAAATATTTGTTCCTTGGTGCCCAGCTAAAAACTGCTATTATGACTCCCACTGACTCTCACAAGCACTCTCAGACAAACTAAAAGCTCCAAATAACTCAATTAAATAGGTTGATCCCTGGAACTTAAATTGATTGAAATTCCTTTACATATGAGGATTAAAAAAAGGGGACTGAAGACAGGAAGAAGTTCTTCTTTGATACAATGTCAGAGAAAAATCATAGTGTCCAAACCTGCAGTAACATAGGATTCTGGAGAAGTCAAACCTAAAGACACAAGTTTTCCAAGGGGAAAACATAGCATGGCACTTGATTAAAAAAAAAAAAATGCAGATGAGTGGTCAAGTTCACATCATCCCATACCACAAGGAAAAGGATAAAACCAACATCTTTTTCTTTTTAACAATACAACAGGAATATTGCCAAGGTACTGAAGTATGGGAAGATTAGGAAAGGAGTATGTATTTAGATGAAAAATAGAAAAATCTACTAATCTCCTATTACCTAGAACAAGGATCTTTACATTTCAGGATATAAACACTGGAAGCTACAATACTGACTTTTTTTAAAATTATTCATAGTGCTTTGGAGGAGCAATCCTTTATTGCAACTAGAATATTCAACCTTTTTCCATTGCATTCTAACAAAAAAGTTTTCATTTCTACCATAAGCATTTCAATGGAGAATAAAGATGTATCCCCTACTACTTCTAGCAGAAACAAGCCTGATGAGAGCATCATGTTTTCATTGAAACAATTTTGTATTGGCCTCCAATGGAACAAGGTTACTAAAATAGAGGAGCAATTCCTATGTTTTAGCATCTGTTCCCCTTAAAATTTATGTATAATTCAGTACAGACTATAAAACACCGTATGAAGTCTCCATCAAATGTGTAAACATTTTTTTGTTATCAACTGAAATCTGTTCATTGACTACCATTGGGTTTATATTGGCTCCCTCTTCTGGCTGACATGCACAAAGTGCAGTGTAGTTGAGATTTTCTTCTCTTTTCCATAAATTATGGATCTGCACCAAAGGCAATGGCATAGCACAGAAATAATTTCTCTTATAATCCACCCAGGAAAACGGGCCATTTCAAATCTGACTACAGCAGTATCAAAACTGCCAATCCAAAGTACTAACCAAAAGAAAAAAAGCCATACACTATAGAAGAAAGACAACAATTAGAAGAAAAACAGGAATGCTGGAGGAAGTGAATACAAAAGGATATAATTTGGGGGTCCTGTTTAAGAAGAATGGCTCATTTTATGTTCAGAATTCTGAAGTAGATTTGGGAAGCTATTTTTGATTTTAACTATTTACATTAGTCAATTTCTAACTGTTCTTCTATTACATTCAGAAAATAATCACTTAAAATATTTTTAAATATATTGAAAACATGTCTAAATTATTTTCAGATGTTCTTTGATAGCAGTCCAAGGACATTTTTTAAAAGTTCATGAGAAATTTAAGCACGAATTATTCTAATTTTAGCAATGAGTTAGTGTGGGTGATGGGAATTTCTTTAGTACTTTAATATTTACACTCATACTAAGCTGCAGAAATGCATCAGTTACCTGCCCATCTTTGAATTATAGATTATTTCTCTCTTTAAAAAGTAATCAACCAACCATCATGAAAAAATATATAGCCAAAAAACCAAATTGGTCACAAATATATCAGAAAAAATACTGTAAAGCTGCCAAACCCAGTTTGTTTTTCCAGATCTTACTTCAACATACTGATTTTAACTTTGATATAAATAATTATGCTGAAGGTTTCCATCACAGGACAGGAGTTTTAACCTAGTCATGACTACAGGATTAGGTATTTGTAAAGGAGACACACCTTTGTACATCTACATCTTTTGTATCCTGCCTAAAATTTCAGCTGAAGATGAATTGACTTTTCCCCCACACATCCTAAACTGAGATCAAACATAAAATTCCTCTAAATTCAACTTCTTATAAAATCACTCTAGGCTTTTGTTTTTCTTCTAACATCTTCTTAGGTCTGTGGTCACTTACACTAAGAAGACAGTGAATGATAAATGTAAAAAGCAAAAGAACAAATTAGAGCAGCAAACTGACAACAGTATGTAAAATTACTGTATTGCCATAACATGAAATGTACCCAGGCTTGTAGCTAAGAGCTAACAGTTTTCCCCTTGTTCCAAAGATTCTGATCTTTGGTACTTGTGCAAATTTCCTCTCACCAGAGACTGTAGCCTGGTTAAGAATGAAAAGTCTGAGACAAGGGTAGCAGGCCCTGACAGTCACACATTTCTGCTCAGTGGATTACAGCTTAAACTTGAGTATAAATAAATGAATATCAGAGTATTTCTCTCATGTAGTATTACCTCTATTTAGTCTTTGTTCCGCTCAGACAGTTCCTTCTGGAATCATTTAAATGTGGATTATTCTGAACAGGCAACCAGAATACAAAACACAGAAACAGTCCCCAGTGAAATTTCAGAATTGCACATTCTTTTTTTTCCACAAGGCTCTTGTGATTAAGACTGTAAAAAGGGGTATATATTGAAACACAAACTGAAGCAAAAAAGAACGCATCAGATCATGCTCAGGTTTATAATTTTTTATGTTGCCCAATAAACAACACTTTACACATCATACACCACACCACTATTCTTTCTTCATCAGTATGGAAAGCTCCTCAATAACCTCTCAATCATTTTCTTGAGGAAAAAGAAAGGAGAAAAAAGAAACAATCTCCAATGCAATGAATTAGATTGTTGAACACTGTATATTTCTAGATAGAACACATCAGCGAAAACATTTCTGTAACTCTGTTCCCAGTTATTCAAATCCTATTATTCCTATTATTAAATTTCTAGAGCGGAAAGAAATAGTCTATCATTAGGACCAAAATTTCCTAAGGGCTATATTCATAAAGAAGTAGTTCAATGATTAGATCAATCACACCCAAGGTTGCAGAAATTTCATCCTGCAATAATGTTGATGTTATAATTTTGTGGCAAGTAAAATTTTTCCGTCTGAATGACCGAACTTCTGCGCAAGTAAAAAAAAATTGTGATGAACAAAAACAGTTAAGAAATGGTATTTTCTTAATATAGTATTGTATACCATATACCTTGATTATATTTATAAAGAGACCTATGAGAAAATAATGGCAAACAAACGAGGCTGGGTAAGTCTGCCGTATTTTGATTTTGTGGTTACCCAAGAAGCAGCTGCAGGCGGGGTTCAGCACCACCCAGCTCCCAGCACACCTGCAGAGGCAGGTATGAGCTCACAGCAGAACAGGCAGCAGCCACACGGGGTGGGAGAGTGCAGTGCAGGCAGCACCAGCCCCTTCCATCACTGAGAAAAGCAGTGCTCTGTGATTACCTTTGTTTTCCCTCAGGCATCCAAAGGCATCAGGCTTCTCTGCCAAGCTCCTGTCACCCGCTGGCAAGCACATTAAAAATGGTCTACATCTCAGTATTATTAGAATAAGCTAGTTTTAGTTATAGAACTGTGAATTTGGCAGTATTGCTACAAGCATACACAAATTATACAAATCAATTACTATTTGGAAAACAAACTGGCTTATATTTACCACTGATCAATGATGCAGCAGAGTACCTAATGACACCCAGGCATTTGCAGAACATGCAAGCTTTGCCAACAAAACATAAAAACTTAAGAGTCTGGGACATCAACCTAGAGCTCTTCAGCTGATGCCTCTGGACTCTGATGGGTTTGGTGTGTATGCACCACACACACATAAATATTGGCTGCAACAGATGAATCCTTCAGTGCAGCTTTAGGATGAGTTGAAGAATGGAACAATTCCCTAGAAAGTGACATTCATTTATAGCAGGTTGGCACTATTAAAAGAAAAGAGGAAAGTACTGTGAAAACTATATTTTGGAAGTAGCTGTAACAACTGGCATCCAAGGAGTCCTTCAAGAATTAATTTGATGAGTTTTTGGTAAAGTGATCTCACCAAAAGAGAGTTGTGACAGAAACAGAATTGAGTTGTGCAGATCATTAACTGAACAAGTTGTTTCATTTCAGATTATATTTCACTATGCCAGCTTCCAATAATATTGTCTTTCCATTTTTTCACATTTTCCTAGGGAATTTTATAGTTGTTTTCAAATTCAACATTTTCCATCTACATTTTTTGCAAATTAAAACTATTGCTATATGATAAATCACTTGATCTTTATCAACATGCAGCATATCATTGTTGCTGTAACATGCTTACATGCACAAACCTTGTTTATGTGGCTGAAGTTTGCTTGCAGCAAACACAGGACCAAACAACTTACCCCAAATGCCTTTCAGCCCAGCTAGAGAATTCCTACCTCGTGGCAGGAGAAGAGGCGCACTCCCTCCATCTGATGGAAGACGGGGTAGTGGGTGCTATCGATGGTGTCCCGGCGGTAGACATCTCCCACTGCCAGAAAGGCGTCTAGGCCAGAGTGTATCAAGTCCCACTGGTGGGCTGATGTGTGTGCTCTTAGCATGTGGTCACGATTCAAGTAGTAGTTATCCTCTTTCCTTCTGCTGGCATGGTTTTGTGGAATAAGTAAACTATCAAAATTCTGCTGGACTGTAACCACTGGAGAAAGACCGTCGTACACAGAAAAGAGCGGAGTCCCACGGCGTCCTAAGTAATGTTTGTAGAAGTGCTCCTTCACCTGCTCCTTGATTAGCCACAAAGGGTGATGTTTTCTGTTGTGCAAGTTCTTCCCCACCTTGGAAAGAATCTTCTCTGTGACATTGGTGTAGTCATCTTGAGGATAGGATTTACCAAGCAGTTCCACTGTATTTGAGCAGGGTACACTGGCACCAAAATCTGAAGGTACAGACTTGGATGAAGAATGCCTTGAATGGGTGGAAATTCCTTTTACTTTTACTTTTGATGATAAAGCTGTTGTTTTAGAATATTTAGCTACTCTCATGAATTTCCAGAGCATTGCCATTGTAAACTTTATGATCTAGAGAAAGAAAAGGAATTTAAAATATTTGAGTTAGGAACTGCAATGTTGCTGCAGGAATTGCTATTATCTTAGGGACAGATAAATCCAAATGTCTGCTTGATTAGCATGACAAAGTTCCCATTATAAACCACTCTTTTGACTTCAGAGGATGGAAAATACCCTTGTGGTCAAATTTCAGCTTGGATATTTTAATCAGTTATCAGGCTTCTGCATGACTGCACCAGTAATAATGACTCTAGACCTAGCCTGAACCCCATTCCAGATTATGCTCTTCAAAGATGAATAAACATCAGGCCTTCTTTGAAACAATATTTTTCCTCCAATTACAAAATGTGGCAATAACTTCATATTACTTCAGAGAAACTAGGAAACTTAACAGTGCCCTTCCGCAGTCAGAACTGGCTTACAACAAGCAATTAACTTATTGCTATATCATCTCCATTAGCAGAAGCTGCAGAACGTGTTCCACATCTACCTGATGCATGTGGCATGCACTATGCAATCATCACAAATTCTTATTTAATGCCAGACAAAACCAGTTTAACCTTTCAAACTACTGAACCACTGTGAAAAAACAGATGGCCAGACAAGACATATATTTATATATAAACAGCTTATTAAATTCACATATGAGTATTGCACAAGATTCACCATAAAGACTGCATAAAGTCAGAACCAATGTTAGAATTTTGCAGTGATCACAAAGCCCCTTTTTCCACATGTTCCCCAGGATGGCTGCTTGCACAGCTCCCATGGCTGTACAGGGAAGGCAGGCCTGTCAGATACCAGGAAGGCAAAGTGATGAGATTCTTCAAGTTGTCTGAACTGAAGAACTCATTTCCCATCAAAGGGCCATCTTTACACATCCTCCCTGTTCACAGACAGGCTTTGTGCTTCATGTGTACACAGCTGCATTCTCTGTAGAGCTCAAAGATAATTCCAAAACCAAAGAGTTTTGAGAGTGATGAACCTTTCAGTCACTCCTTATGCATAAGCCCATTCTGAGATGAAAAATTACTTGAAAATCTATAGATGGGCTTCAGAAATATTAGCAAAGGTCCCAGTAAAATAATTAAGCATTAAAATTTGCTTATTATGGCATGGGAAAGCAGAGGCATTAGAAGTTAAGTGACCAGGGAAAGGCATCTGCTACAAACTGGCTTGTACTTCTTTATGAACCAAGAATTACAGGGCCACAGGTTTCCTGAGTGAAAGAATTTTCTGCGAAAGTCATCTTAAAGAATTAGGGGAAGAAAGGACATAAGCAATAATAAATGCACCACAGTCTTCAAGGGATACAGTCTTTAGGATTACAGTATCTGGCTAGCTTTCCACAGGAACATAAGGAAAACAAGTGTAAGTAACAAAATAAACAAGGTGAGACTATTTTTCATACTCTCATGCTTCAAAATACATATGCAAATGAACAGACATACTAAAATAGGGAGTACCAGAAAAAATCAAATCTGTAAAAGATAATTAGTATGGTCACATTTGGCTTTAATTCTGGCTTGTATCTAGAAGTTTTCCACAGGTCTTTTTCCTCAAGTCATTGTATCTCAATTAATCAAAATAAAGGCAAGTTGGGTAGACCGAAATTAATCCTGGTGGGGAAGCATAAGATTATTGAATATTCAGTTTAATCCTTTTTTGGGTGGAATAACTTTAGAAATAAGTAACAGCTATAAATTTTATCTAGTTTCGAAACTTTTAAGAATGACTGCCTTGGGCAGGGGGGCAGTAAAGAGTTTACAAAGCTATTTCATCAAATTAGCTCTTGATCATTACTGAGAATGTTCTTCAATAAATTAATTCACATACATATCAGAAACCACTCTGATAGAGGCTAAGCAAGGAATAGTCTTACATTTTGAAAAGAGACCCCATACGTTCTCCTTCATGGAAAGTGAGTTCTCATTTTCAAACAGCTGCTTGAAATACCCAGTCCTAGTCAGATAATGAATTCAGCTTCCCTTAAGTAAATATCACCATCTGCCCATACATTTATTTTTCTAAAAACTTCAATTCAAAACTTACACATAACCGTAATGTACAAAAACTCCCATAACTTTATCGTGATTCTTGTGATGTTTGCTGCTTTCTTAAATATCATTCCTCTGAGAATCAGACAACCTCATGAGAAGCTTAACTTTCACATAAACAGTTTTGATGATTATAAATTTATGGAAAAAGAAATAAGAACATGCACCACCAGTACTAGGGAGGCAGTCTTGTTTGTTTGTTTAAGACTCATTATTTTTAAGGGAGACTCTAGTATATACATCTTCAAGGGCTTACCTGATTATATTTCAGTATTTGTAATGAGGAAGCCTGCTATCAGTTTCTGATAGTTCAGAAACACTCTTTTTTCTAAGCAAGTGATACATACTCCTAACAAACCTGTACAGGAGAAAAACCTACTGAACTTGTGTCAGAGTTTTTATCTTAACATTATGCCTGTGCCTTAAATAGTTAAATGGCATTATTATGTGCATTATTATTCTAGTCCAAAGCAAAATCTGAGCAGTAAGTAATGTGAATAATAAGAAAAGTTATAGTTTTCAGATGAGTCCAAGTACTGCAAACAACAGCAAGCAAGCACTAAGTGTTCCCCTAACATGGTATCACAACCAGAGTTCCAGAAACACTCAAGTCCTACAACAACACTCTGCTACTTCCCTCTCCCACCACAGAGTCACGTATTCCTCTTTCAGAATCATTACAGAAAAATGGTATTGGACTTAGTTCAAGTCAACTAGTGATAAGTTACATTTGGGCAGAGAAACCACAGAGAAGAAAGTAAAATATGTTTACACTCTGCAGACTGTACACAAAATCTTCAAACCAAAGTAATGTTTACCAAGGCAGAGAGCAACATTGGAAAATAAAGACATCTCTTTACCTTTCTTCTAGCAATAAATACTTGGTGTTAAGAACACACTAATTACTTATGTTCTCATATAATAAACAGAAATTTATGCATTTATGCTTATTTATTTCCATCTGTGTTTATTTAAACGTCTGGAAAAGCAGTTTAAATGTATCATTTTCTTCCTTTATTTCCACCATACTTTTCATTTGGCAGAGAAACAAAACTCTTTTCTGTGCACACTGACAAAACCTGAATCCCACAGCAAGGCCTGCCAGCCAGCTAACAAGAACAGTGAGCCAAACAGCAGCTGCAGGGTCTGAAGCTGAAAACAAATACATAAACCAGAAATAGACATTGAACTACCACCACTGCCATCTACCATGAATGGCAAAGCCCTCCACCAGCATCACCAGTGAATCCTGCACTCTGGGTTTGGCAGTGGCTCTGGCTCACAGCTGGGAGCCAACACAGGGCTCTGGATGAAGATGCAGGGTTTTGGAAGCAGGCTGTTCTGCTGGCAGCTCTCCATGGGGTTTCTCAAAGCTCTGCAGGTGAACATGCAAGCACCAGGCCCACCACCTCCTAATACACATGTCCTCAGCCAGAGAGCACCATGGACACATTTCAGGGTACCTCAGCAGCTCCCCTGAAGCTCCATGGCTCAGGTTGCTGGACCTCAATCTCCATACTGAGATGTCTACTACAACTCTAGTCTTGGATAGGAATGACACCATGCATTACTTGGAACTACACTTGCACCTAGCTCATGCTTTTGAGCAGCTCCAAGGCAGACCAGAGGACAGAAGGTGGCATCCACACCACCCAGGGGTGAAAAGGCATAAGAACAACCCTGTCCGTGCTGTGCATAGACCAGGCACAGATACAACCACACCTGCCAACATCAGTCATGTATCACAGGCCCTATGACATTTCTACAGCAGTTTTAATTGATGGGCAAGGCTCCTTCCTCCTGTACAGAAAACCAACTGTTCCCCATGCAGCAGCCCAGCAGACATTACACATGCTAAAAGTACACCACAGTCAGGAGCCTGACAACAGGGAAATAGCAGACAGAATACATCAGACAAAAAATACCATGGTTTTGGAGCACATGCAAAAGGAAGTTTGATTTGATAAGGGATCATACTGCTGTACTGTTAAGGGATGTCCTTTCATGTCTAAATCCAGGTTTCCATGTCATAGTGCAGCAAGGATTAAGACAGCATTATCACAGCTGCAGTGGTATTTGTCACAATTCTCCACTACCCAGCTGAGGCTTAGGAAAGAATCATAGACTCAGTGAAATTCCTCCTTACACCTGCTTTGAAAAAGGAGGAGAAAAGAGGGGCAATTTAGCAGCCCACAATGAAAGGAGACAGTGCTGTGCACCAATGTTGTTTTATTCACTCACGTCTCCTGAGAAAGTGGAAGAGGGACAACGCTCCTGTTTGAGCAAACTAGAGCCCAAAGGGGCCAGCATGTGGGGCCATTTGCTTGGTGTTTGCATCTGTGAGCCAAGGGCACCCTCGCTCCTGCTGACCGCGTTTCTCTCTGCCCTGTGCTTTTTACAGCTTATGGCTGCAGAAACACAGATGGGCTACTGCATACATAAACCCAAGTACATGACGGGTTTGAAACCAAAATTCTACAAAGATGAGAGTCTGTCTCCTATCCAAGAATAGCTAATTAATGCAAGACTCTGAAGTGCCATGGAAAATGTTAGAAAAGTTGGGCTGCCACCATTTTGTGATGTGACAGCTTTTATCTACCGTATGTGTGGGGAGGGGAGTTCAACCAACATAGCATATGTTGAAACAAAAATTATAAACATATGTTAGGCTGCTAAAATTGGACATTTACCAGTCTGCTTAGCAATTTAGCTAAGCATTGAATTTTAGTTTTGAAAACTATGTAGGCATACAGCAGCAAATATCATTGTATTGCCATGACCATATCTGCCTTTCATAGGATATAACATAAATTGTTTTGCATGCGATACTAATAACAAGCTCGGATTTTTAAATGCTCATTTTAAAATGATGATACATTGTTGCACACCAGAACAGACTTCTACTGAGCATGCTGGATTTATATAACACACACAGACTTCTGAAATAGCCTTGCA